TGTCCAAAGCCAGCTAAATACCCCAGTGCATCTCTGGGATAACTGGTCCAGTGTGTGCTGGGGGGACCATCCCCAGCTCGTGGTTCTCCTCCGGAGCCGGTGGCTGCCAGGATGGATTTTGTTTTTACAGGGATGAATTTTTCCGCCTCGGCTGCCGGCAGGGAAGGTCGGTGGTGGGGAAGGGGCTGAGGCGGCACAGCCGGCGCCGGTAACGCGGCAAGAAGGGGCCATTGTGGCGAGGCGCAGCTGTGCGGGGCGCGGGAGGGGAGCAATGGGAATGCAAAATGCTGGCGACGGGAAGGGCCTGGGGGATTCAGCACCCTCTGAGGGTATTTCCCCACCCTGCACGTGTCCCGGTGACAATAAGGGCTTTATGGGGGGAGATGCCATCCCCTGTCCCAGGAGCTGCTGGGGCCTGGCATGTGCCGTCCCGTTGAGGTGACGCGGGTGCTGGGGACACCCCGTCCCCACCTCAGCAAGGCGGGGGGGTGGTGCTGGGGTGCTCTTGGGGACCTGGTCCCCTTGAAGCCATGGCTGTGCCACCAGCAACCTGCTCGCGAGGCTGATGGAGATGGGTCCTTGAAGCAGCATGACAAAGTGACACTGGGGACGAAGGGGAGGACAGAGAGCGGCTCCTGTGCCCTTCCCAGCGCTCCTCTGCGACCCGGTGAGCAGCGGCTCTTGTTTCTCTCGCTGAGCTCTCGTGAATTATTCAGGTGCTGCCTAAGGATGCTCCCCCCTTACCCAGAGCGGAGCCCCCCCTGAGCCGGCTGGGGGCCACAGAGGTGGGGAGCAGCCAGGGCTGGTATCACTGGTCGTGCGCCGGCCACCGAGGCGGGATGCACCGTGCGAGAGGGAGCGGGATGAGATGTGCAACCTCCCCGAGCACAGGGTGATGCTCAGCATGCGGGAGAGGAGCCCTTGCAAAGCATCATTTCATTTCATTGAAAGGAGGAGAGGAGGAAAGGGAGGGGGGAGAGAGCCAGCACGCGAGCTGGCCCAGATCCTGTTTCTTCTCTTTTTTATTCTCTGTTTTCGTGCAGCGCCAGCTCTCATCCCCCGCTGTTCAGCAACGGCTGCTCCATCCACGCCGGCAGCGCCTGGTGCCACCCAGCAGGGATGGGGCTTTGCTGGGGTGAGCCCCAGTATGGTCCCCAGCTGAGCACCATCCTCAACCGCTGCTGGGACCCCAGGAGGATTTGGGGTCCGGCTCCGGGGCTGGCGGTGAGGTGGAGAGCTGTGCAATGCAGGGGACCGTCCCCGAGATGCTCCCGGGGAGGGGCTGGAGATAGGAAGTGGGGGTCTGCATGCTGGGCACACTGGGGGTATACTGGGGGGAGGAGGATGCCCCCCACATGCCCAGTCCATCCCATCACCCTCCGCAGCACCTTCAGCAACAGCCTGAGAGGGGTGAGGACAGCGGCGGGGGGTGCACGGATGCCCCAGCGATGGGGACATGGGATGGGACAGCGATGGGGACATGGGATGGGACAGCGATGGGGATGCAGAACAGGATAGCCATGGGGACACTGGATGGGGCAGCAATGGGGACACGGTGCTGGGTAGAAGCTGGCCCTGCCAGTGGGAATCTGCCACATTCTGCCGGTGCTTCCCCGGCTCCATTCACCCCCTCCACCCCAATCTATCACCGTCTCCTTAGCCTGCAGGCCCGTGCCGCGCTGTTTCCGGCTAACGGCTTGTTTCCCATCGCTGCAAGTGGCCACCAGGAACAGATGAGCCCGGGAGGGTGATTTATGCCGGGCAGGTTGACGCTGCAACTGTTCGGGAGAGCGGCAACAGCTGCTCCGGCTGTTTCAGCACAACGTGGGGCCCGGAGCAAATCCTCGGCGGCGGCAGGAGCGGGGGCTCGGGACGGGTGATGTCCTGGGGGCGTCGGGCACCGCTGTGGGGTGGGGGGACGGCAGTGCTGGAGGGGGCTGGGGAGGATCTGGGGGGGCTGACGTTCGCTTCCCAGCCACTGCGTGAGACCAAGATTCAAGTCAAGGCTCTGGTTAATCCAGACTTTAATCTGCTTTAAATCCCACCTTTAAACTGTTTAATGCCACCTTTTGGAATTAGGATCCTGCGCGGTGGCTCCTTCCCGCTGAGCTGGGAGGAGGAGGAGGAGGAGGAGGAGGAGGATGCTCCGACAGTCTGGGGAGCAAACCTCGGCACAGCGGCATGGCTCGGCAGGACCGCGGGGGTCGTGGGGTCCCCGGCACAGGGACGAGCAGACGGTCATGACCCCCCGATTGCAGCACCCCAGCTTAAAAACCTTTCTGCGTGGCCGACATCAGCTGGCAACGGGGCCCAGGCTGCCGGGCTCGGGGGGCTTCCCGTGACACCCCGGTGACAAACCGGCCCTGCACCCACCATGGGGGCTGCCGCCACCCGCCACCCACCACGCCAGGCCCCCACATTCCCCCGGCCAAGCAGAGAAGATGCCCGTCCCTGCTTTGTACTGGCGGTGCTGGGTGGATTGGGGCCGGGTGGGGGTTTTAGGGTCTGGGGGCAGCCCCATCTCCCCCCGCCAGAGCCCCCCACGCAGCAGCCGCCTGCACACCCTGGCATGCTGCTCCCGGTGAAGGGTGGGAACGGGGCGGAAAAGGGCCCGGTACGGGGCTGTCGGTACCGGCACAGGCGTCCCGCGGCCCCCCACGCCCCCCTCCCCTTTCCCAGGGGTGTTGTATCCCCGTGGCACACCCGAGGACCCCCACGTGTGGGCGAGGGGGGACTTTGCAAGGACCCCCGGCGCCCCGCGGTGCAGCCCACGCTCAGCCCGGTCTACCAGCGCCCTCCCGTGTTCTATCCCCAAAGCTCCCCCGGCACCCGGCCAGCGTCCCACGCCGCTTTCACGCGTGACCCTCTCCCCCACGCGGGACCCCTCGCACCCACCCGCGTCCCCACCACCCACGCGGCTCCGTACACACCCGAGGGAAGGCCCCCGTGCCCGGTAACGCCGTGTCTGATCCACGCCGCGCTAACGGGACCGACCCACGCACAACCGGGACCGGCGGGGCCGCCAGGTCCCGCTCCCACCCTCGGGGAAGGGGGGGGGGAAACCTCCTACCGCGCGCTCCCATTGGCTGCTTCGTAGCAAGCCCCGCGTCGCCATTGGCTGACAACGTCCGTGGGTCCCGCCCCCGCCGCCGCCGCGCCCGGCCCCGCTCGGGACTTCGCAGCAGCCGCGGGCGGGAGGCCCGGACCCGCCGGGTTACCGGGCACCGGGGGCATCACCGAGCCTGGGCAGGGGAGAGGCGACTGGGGAAGAGAAACCCCCTTCGCCCGGTCCCGCCCCG